GCCACAGTAGATAACTAACTGTGCAACAAAGCTATCAATAATACTTTTTCAACCATGAAAGCAGTAGTACAGTAGGCTATAAATGGTGCCATACACTACATTACATTACATGAAATCTAAAGCCATCAAGTATTTCCAGCAACAATTTGCGGTCACATAGGGTGTTAGACTTGCTCCAAGTCTCTCTTTCATTGTCATATCGATCCACTATAGTGTACATTACATGACGTAGCACGGAGAGGCGGAGCGAGAAAGAGAGACTTGTCAACTTCGGAAAATCTCGGTTCAAAACTGAACCGAAAATGCAAGACTTGCTTTAATTGCGGTTTTCCTTCAATTTCTTTCTGTATTATTTACTTTTATGGAACTCATGTTATTTACTCAGTGCTAGATCGATACATATAAACACTGACAGAAAACAATTAAAGCAAGTCTTGCATTTTCGGTTCAGTTTTGAACCGAGATTTTCCGAAGTTGACAAGTCTCTCTTTCTCGCTCCGCCCCTCCGTGCTACGTCATGTAATGTACACTATAGTGGATCGATACTATATGACAATGAAAGAGAGACTTGGAGCAAGTCTAATAGTATGTTGGCAACCTAATTCTAGAGCACTATGTCTATAAACGGTTTTAGAATCAATAGAATGGACATTCAATGTCTATTTGGCTAGTGCCCAAATGTGCAACGTTTGCTGTAAAACCACCAAGGCACTACGACCTACACAGTCGCTTTTGAGACCTCTATTTAACAAAATTTATACCGTTTCCATACGACAACAATTCAATCATGGCATATTATAAGAATATTATAAATATCTGAACCAGAGGCTGAACAGAAGCGTACAGTACGCGCGAAATGAAACTGCACCCGAACCCCGAGAGAATAAAAGGGAAATATTTCAAAGCATATGATCATACGTTTTTATTGCTTGATTTCCTGATTTGTCTGTTGCCATAAGAATCTGCAGTTTAGCATGTTGTATAATTTAAAAGCAAACAGAAACCAATTTAGCAAGTATTTTGAAGTATATATGATTCTCAAAGATAATTGTACAGAACGGCCACTCCTTGCAATCGAAGTGTGAAGTGGCTATCAATTTTCTGTGGGTCATGTGACCAGCTCCGATCCAGGGTCTTTCCTCCACAAGAGGGAAGAGCCTGGGAATGAGGTTGGGTCTTAGCTAGAAGACAGGGTCTTAGCTAGAAGGCAGGATCTTAGCTAGAAGGCAGGATCTTAGCTAGAAGGCAGGGTCTTAGCTAGAAGGCAGGGTCTTAGCTAGAAGGCAGGATCTTAGCTAGAAGGCAAGGTCTTAGCTAGAAGGCAGGGTCTTAGCTAGAAGGTAGGGTCTTAGCTAGAAGGCAGGGTCTTAGCTAGAAGGCAGGATCTTAGCTAAAAGGCAAGGTCTTAGCTAGAAGGCAGGGTCTTAGCTAGAAGGCAGGGTCTTAGCTAGAAGGCAGGATCTTAGCTAGAAGGCAGGATCTTAGCTAGAAGGCAGGGTCTTAGCTAGAAGGCAGGGTCTTAGCTAGAAGGCAGGATCTTAGCTAGAAGGCAGGGTCTTAGCTAGAAGGCAGGGTCTTAGCTAGAAGGCATTAGGTGCAAGCCTCTTAGCTAGATGGCAGGGTCCAAGCAGGGTCTTAGTTAGAAGGCCGTTTTGACGGTGACGTCATGCACGTGTTGCCGCGGCGAAAAATGGAAAAACATAGGTAGATAAACCGAACGCAGCTCGTTATTTATATAAAGCTGGGTAGGATCATAAAATAAAGTGTTGCTACTGATAACAGACAGAATTTCCTCCTGTTTATGTAGTAAGAAAGTTTGCGCAATCTACAGTTGTTTGTTGAAAATTAGCAAAGTGATCAGTCTGTGATATACTGATATTTCGATGTTTTGATCGATATAGACATTAGGCAATGAGAACCATATGGTGTTGAAATGAGTTTAAATGTCTCAAGACTTAATAATTAAAATATCTAACAGTATGAAATACGGGCGTATTCTTGTCTTGCGTGTGCTTGAAAAGCATAGAGCAACCACAGGCATAGTCTATTGTTGGCGAGCATAACTGGAATCATGTTTTTGCTATTCAAAGTAATTACTGTAGCATGTACTGTACACAGCCTGGAAATTTAGAAACATGCCTAGGATATGAAATTCCAACTAAAGACCTGTCTCACACAGTCATGTGAGACAATGTACAAGCAGAAACAAAGAGAAGTGCAAAGCATGCCACAAAGCCCTGACAAGTATTTTTTGACAATGAAAGTGTGGTAGGCTATAGATTGAGCTAATACTATGGCAGGAAATTTAATGCCAAAAATACAGATGTAAAAATCTCCCAACTTGTCAACACAATATATGTTCACAACAGGCTTCTAGCAAGCTTGTTGGCAAGTTGTAACTAAACAATGCTGTTATTTTATCAAGTTGCTACAACATCGTCGCTTAATTGCAACTTGTTGACAAACTGTGGAATTGCAGGACGATAACAAGTTGATGAAACAACTTGTAACAAGTCTGTTGAGCTCAATAACTTTGCTGCAAGCAGTTGACAACTGACCAACAAGCTGGCAGCAAGCAGTGTGAACACATCCTCATAACAAGTTTGTTGAAACAGCAAGTCTGCTGCAGGTTTGTTACAACTAGTATGTTTTTTATGTGTGTAATATGGTTGCAAGAACACATCCTCATAACAAGTTTGTTGAAACAGCAAGTCTGCTGCAGGTTTGTTACAACTAGTATGTTTTTTATGTGTGTAATATGGTTGCAAGAACACATCCTCATAACAAGTTTGTTGAAACAGCAAGTCTGCTGCAGGTTTGTTACAACTAGTATGTTTTTTATGTGTGTAATATGGTTGCAAGAACACATCCTCATAACAAGTTTGTTGAAACAGCAAGTCTGCTGCAGGTTTGTTACAACTAGTATGTTTTTTATGTGTGTAATATGGTTGCAAGAACACATCCTCATAACAAGTTTGTTGAAACAGCAAGTCTGCTGCAGGTTTGTTACAACTAGTATGTTTTTTATGTGTGTAATATGGTTGCAAGAACACATCCTCATAACAAGTTTGTTGAAACAGCAAGTCTGCTGCAGGTTTGTTACAACTAGTATGTTTTTTATGTGTGTAATATGGTTGCAAGAACACAT